CAGAGGGATGAGGAAGGGTTGTTGAGGTGGTTCGGACATGTAGAGAGAATGGAGCAAAACAGAGTGACTTCAAGAGTGTATCAGTCTGTAGTCGAAGGAAGGCGGGTAGGGGTCGGCCTAGGAAAGGTTAGAGGGAGGGGGTAAAGGAGGTTTTGTGTGCGAGGGGCTTGGACTTCCAGCAGGCATGCGTGAGCGTGTTTGATAGGAGTGAATGGAGACAAATGGTTTTTAATACTTGACGTGCTGTTGGAGTGTGAGCAAAGTAACATTTATGAAGGGGTTCAGGGAAACTGGCAGGCCGGACTTGAGTCCTGGAGATGGGAAGTACAGTGCCTGCACTCTGAAGGAGGGGTGTTAATGTTGCAGTTTAAAAACTGTAGTGTAAAGCCCCCTTCTGGCAAGACAGTGATGGGGTGAATGATGGTGAAAGTTTTTCCTTTTTGGGGCCCCCCTCCCTTTGGGTGGGAATCGGCAGGTGATAAAAAAAAAAAAATGCTTCAAAAACTGTTGTGTTAGACCGGCAAAAACAGTGTTATGTGTGAGTGAGGTGAAAGTGTTAAATGATGATGAAAGTATTTTTTTTTGGGGATTTTCTTTTTTTTTTGGGGTCCCCCGCCTCGGTGGGAGATGGCAATTTGTTGAAAAAAAAAAAAAAAACTAGTCATACTCTCAAATTACTTTGCCCTTTTAAATTTCATTCAAGAATCTTTAGAATAGTAGTGCTATCTTAAATTTTCCTTATGTAGATACATTTTTTTATTTTAATGATGTTTTACTTTATCTTTCAAAGTCTTTGGGAGATATAAAAAGCATCTGAAGAAAATTATTTTTACATTTTTACATTCAAAAAAAAAAATTTAAAATTTAATAAAAACTAAAATAAAAAAGCAGGGAAAAAAAAAAAAACAGGAATTAGTTTTAATCCAACCCAAGTTCAAATTTAAAGAAGAGGCCCTTCCTGTAGGGGAGTTCTTGAAAGAAAAAATTTTGGGTCCCCTTTCCCCTTCCAAAGATCAAACCTGATTACTCCCACCCCCCGGGTTCTGTAAGACCCCTTATGATTTAGTTCCCCAATTAATAAATTTAATCAGAAAGAGGAGATGTGTTTCACAAATTTTAACAACATACCCTTCTAGAAAAGCACCTTGCACCAGTGCAGGGTCTTTTTTAAAAAAAAAAATTCTTATCTCCCCTCCATGGTCAATTCCGATTGTCCCCCCTTTTTCCCAAGGGCTTTTGCCCCCAAAAGGTTTATGCTTACCCATGAAATAATAATAATTTTTAACATTGAAAATTTCATTGACCGTACCTAAAAATAATAAGTAGCCCCACAAGATCCGAAAACAGTCTTAGCAAAAAAGGAAATATAAAAACAGCCCAAAGGGAAACTACCACTGTAAAAAAGGGAAAACAGTACTTGCAAAAAACACATACTACTGCACTAAATTAAAAAAAAAAAAAAAAAATAAAGATATTTGAGTAAGAGTTTTCTAGTAATTTTAATTTTTTTAAAACAGCTGTTCCCACGAGGTGGGGACCCGAAAAAAAAAAAACACTTTCCCATCGTTTTTTCCATTTGTCTTGCCGAGGATGAGAAATGAAATGTTTAAAATACAGGACATTCATTGTTAAAAACTAATTAAATTCCCCCTTTTTTTTTTTTTCCTTTCCCCCCCCCCCACCAGGCCAGGGTAACCCAAAGGAAAGGAAAAAAACCCAAAAAAGAAAATACTTCCCTCATTTTTAAAATTTCACCTCACTCACACATAATCACTGTTTTTGCGAGGGCCCAGAAAAAAATTTAGAAATATATCGTATAAAATACACAATATTTCCCAAATGCCCAAAATCCCCAAAACCTTCCAGGGATTGTATTCCCATTTCCAGGACTCGAGTCCGGTTATATAAAAATAACCGGTTTCCCTGAATCCCTGCCTCTAAATTGAAGCAAATTTTGAAAAAATCTGGAATCACCTAATAGTAATTTGATCCCAAATTATTTTTTTTTTTTTTATTATCACACCGGCCGACTCCCACCAAGGCAGGGTGGCCCGAAAAAGAAAAACTTTCACCATCATTCACTCCATCACTGTCTTGCCAGAAGGGTGCTTTACACTACAGTTTTTAAACTGCAACATTAACACCCCTCCTTCAGAGTGCAGGCACTGTACTTCCCATCTCCAGGACTCAAGTCCGGCCTGCCGGTTTCCCTGAATCCCTTCATAAATGTTACTTTGCTCACACTCCAACAGCACGTCAAGTATTAAAAACCATTTGTCTCCATTCACTCCTATCAAACACGCTCACGCATGCCTGCTGGAAGTCCAAGCCCCTCGCACACAAAACCTCCTTTACCCCCTCCCTCCAACCCTTCCTAGGCCGACCCTACCCCGCCTTCCTTCCACTACAGACTGATACACTCTTGAAGTCATTCTGTTTCGCTCCATTCTCTCTACATGTCCGAACCACCTCAACAACCCTTCCTCAGCCCTCTGGACAACAGTTTTGGTAATCCCGCACCTCCTCCTAACTTCCAAACTACGAATTCTCTGCATTATATTCACACCACACATTGCCCTCAGACATGACATCTCCACTGCCTCCAGCCTTCTCCTCGCTGCAACATTCATCACCCACGCTTCACACCCATATAAGAGCGTTTGTAAAACTATACTCTCATACATTCCCCTCTTTGCCTCCAAGGACAAAGTTCTTTGTCTCCACAGACTCCTAAGTGCACCACTCACTCTTTTTCCCTCATCAATTCTATGATTCACCTCATCTTCATAGACCCATCCGCTGACACGTCCACTCCCAAATATCTGAATACATTCACCTCCTCCATACTCTCTCCTCCAATCTGATATTCAATCTTTCATCACCTAATCTTTTTGTTATCCTCATAACCTTACTCTTTCCTGTATTCACCTTTAATTTTCTTCTTTTGCACACCCTACCAATTCATCCACCAATCTCTGCAACTTCTCTTCAGAATCTCCCAAGAGCACAGTGTCATCAGCAAAGAGCAGCTGTGACAACTCCCACTTTGTGTGTGATTCTTTGTCTTTTAACTCCACGCCTCTTGCCAAGGACCCTCGCATTTACTTCTCTTACAACCCCATTATAAATATATTAAACAACCCGGTGACATCACACATCTTGTCTAAGGCCTACCTTTACTGGGAAAAAATTTCCTTCTTTCCTACATACTCTAACTTGAGCCTCACTATCCTCGTAAAAACTCTTCACTGCTTTCAGTAACCTACCTCCTACACCATACACTTGCAACATCTGCCACATTGCCCCCCTATCCACCCTGTCATATGCCTTTTCCAAATCCATAATGCCACAAAGACCTCTTTAGCCTTAACTAAATACTGTTCACTTATATGTTTCACTGTAAACACCTGGTCCACACACCCCCTACCTTTCCTAAAGCCTCCTTGTTCATCTGCTATCCTATTCTCCGTCTTACTCTTAATTCTTTCAATTTATAACTCTACCATACACTTTACCAGGTACACTCAACAGACTTATCCCCTATAATTTTTGCACTCTCTTTTATCCCCTTTGCCTTTATACAAAGGAACTATGCATGCTCTCTGCCAATCCTAGGTACCTTACCCTCTTCCATACATTTATTAAATAATTGCACCAACCACTCCAAAACTATATCCCCACCTGCTTTTAACATTTCTATCTTTATCCCATCAATCCCGGCTGCCTTACCCCCTTTCATTTGCCTACTGCCTCACGAACTTCCCCACACTCACAACTGGCTCTTCCTCACTCCTACAAGATGTTATTCCTCCTTGCCCTATACACGAAATCACAGCTTCCCTATCTCATCAACATTTAACAATTCCTCAAAATATTCCTTCCATCTTCCCAATACCTCTAACTCTCCATTTAATAACTCTCCTCTCCTATTTTTAACTGACAAATCCATTTGTTCTCTAGGCTTTCTTAACTTGTTTAATCTCACTCCAAAACTTTTTCTTATTTTCAACAAAATTTGTTGATAACATCTCACCCACTCTCTCATTTGCTCTCTTTTTACATTGCTTCACCACTCTCTTAACTTCTCTCTTTTTCTCCATATACTCTTCCCTCCTTGCATCACTTCTACTTTGTAAAAACTTCTCATATGCTAACTTTTTCTCCCTTACTACTCTCTTTACATCATCATTCCACCAATCGCTCCTCTTCCCTCCTGCACCCACTTTCCTGTAACCACAAACTTCTGCTGAACACTCTACACTACATTTTTAAACCTACCCCATACCTCTTCGACCCCATTGCCTAAGCTCTCATTAGCCCATCTATCCTCCAATAGCTGTTATATCTTACCCTAACTGCCTCCTCTTTTAGTTTATAAACCTTCACCTCTCTCTTCCCTGATGCTTCTATTCTCCTTGTATCCCATCTACCTTTTACTCTCAGTGTAGCTACAACTAGAAAGTGATCTGATATATCTGTGGCCCCTCTATAAACATGTCATCCTGAAGTCTACTCAACAGTCTTTTATCTACCAATACATAATCCAACAAACTACTGTCATTTCGCCCTACATCATATCGTGTATACTTATTTATCCTCTTTTTCTTAAAATATGTATTACCTATAAACTAAACCCCTTTCTATACAAAGTTCAATCAAAGGGCTCCCATTATCATTACACCTGGCACCCCAAACTTACCTACCACACCCTCTCTAAAAGTTTCTCCTACTTTAGCATTCAAGTCCCCTACCACAATTACTCTCTCACTTGGTTCAAAGGCTCCTACACATTCACTTAACATCTCCCAAAATCTCTCTCTCTCCTCATGCATTCCTCTCTTCTCCAGGTGCATACACGCTTATTATGACCCACTTCTCGCATCCAACCTTGACTTTATCCACATAATTCTTGAATTTACACATTCATATTCTCTTTTCTCCTTCCATAACTGATCATTTAACATTACGCTACCCTTCCTTTGCTCTAAACTCTCTCAGATACTCCAGATTTAATCCCATTTATTTCCCCCCACTGAAACTCTCCTACCCCCTTCAGCTTTGTTTCGCTTAGGGCCAGGACATCCAACTTCTTTTCATTCATAACATCAGCAATCATCTGTTTCTTGTCATCCGCACTACATCCACGCACATTTAAGCAACCCAGTTTTATAAAGTTTTCTTCTTCTCTTTTTTAGTAATTGTATACAGGAGAAGGGGTTACTAGCCCATTGCTCCCGGCATTTTAGTCGCCTCATACGACACGCATGGCTTACGGAGGAAAGATTCTTTTCCACTTCCCCATGGACAATAGAAGAAATAAAAAAGAACAAGAGCTATTTAGAAAAAGGAGAAAAACCTAGATGTATGTATATATATATATGCATGTGCGTGTCTGTGAAGTGTGACCAAAGTGTAAGTAGGAGTAGCAAGATATCCCTGTTATCTTAGCGTGTTTATGAGACAGAAAAAGAAACCAGCAATCCTACCATCATGCAAAACAGTTACAGGTTTTTGTTTCACAGTCATCTGGCAGGACGGTAGTACTTCCCTGGGTGGTTGCTGTCTACCAACCTACTACCTTCCAAATTTGATAGTTTCTATAAAACATGCCACATACATTTATTTTTATAAAAAAATTCATAAGTATACCATCCTTCTTCTTTCTTTCTTTCAACACACCGGCCGTATCCCACCGAGGTGGGGTGGCCCACCGAGGCGGGGTGGCCCAAAAGGAAAAACGAAAGTTTCTCCTTTTACATTTAGTAATATATACAGGGGAAGAGGTTACCAGCCCCTTGCTCCCGGCATTTTAGTCGCCTCTTACAACACGCATGGCTTATGGAGGAAGAATTCTGTTCCACTTCCCCATGGAGATAAGAGGAAATAAACAAGAATAAGAACTAGAAAGAAAACCCAGAGGGGTGTGTATATATGTGCTTGTACATGTATGTGTAGTGTGACCTAAGTGTAAGCAGAAGTAGCAAGACATACCTGAAATCTTGCATGTTCATGAGACAAAAAAAAGGACACCAGCAATCCTACCATCATGTAAAACAATTACAGGCTTTCGTTTTACACTCACTTGGCAGGACAGTAGTACCTCCCTGGGCGGTTGCTGTCTACCAACCTACTACCTAGGACCATCCTTCTTACCAGTAGAAAAAAAAGTAGTATGGCAAATTTCTAATCACACTTAAAAAAGAATTTCATTCATAAATGAGACTTTTTTTTCTTCATTTTGTCAAAGACAAAAACAAGTGTTAACCTATATATGTTGAGTTCAACCAGGACACTATCCCTCAAAAGAATTCCTCATTGGCAAATAATGATATGAGCATTACAGTACTCTCATCAAACATCTGGAATGAGTTGACAGACAGTCAGCAGAAACATTTACCTTACATTGACATGGTCATTGAAGCATATGAAAAGAAAGCATCAATCTGTTGATTACTGGTGTTTGAATCCGAAGTTACATAAACAGCTTGCTTACTTGAAGCAGCGTTCATCTGCTGTGCAATCTGTAACATTATAAAGATCATGATAAATACTTGACAGAAGGTAGTGAATAACTATAGAACTTAATTTGAAACATATACATGTATAACTTAATTTGAAACAAATATATAAAACCTAATTTGAAAAAGAAAAAACTTCCTTTTTTCAATGAACCAGCTGTATCCCACAGACAAAATGACCTAAAAAGAAAAAAGTTTTACATTTTAAATTCAGTAATTTATATATAAATAATTAATTTGAAACAAACATATACTATAACCTAATTTGAACAAACATTTTTTTTATGTTTAATTTTTGTTTTCTATTAAAATCTGTTATATAGCTGGAAAGCAACAGAATGGACAAATAGATAGCTCAATGCAGATTATTAAAGTAACATATGAATTATACACAAATAACCCGCACATAAAAGAGAGAAGCTTACGACGACGTTTCGGTCCGACTTGGACCACTGACAAAGTCGCACTCTGTGTGACTTTGTCAATGGTCCAAGTCGGACCGAAACATCGTCGTAAGCTTCTCTCTTTTATGTGCGGGTTATTTGTGTATCGTTCCAGTCACGGTATTGTGCCTTTTTTGTTATTTAACACATGAATTATTCTATTCAAGAGTGCCCGCTGTATAGCCCTTGTGGCTTAGCGCTTCTTTTTGATTATAATAATCTATTCAAGAGTGCAGCATTTAACCCTTTCAGGGTCCAAGGCCCAAATCTGGAGTCACGCACCAGTGTCCAAGAATTTTCAAAAAAAAAATTTGTTATTTTTTCTTATGAAATCGTAGAGAATCTTTTTGTGAAGGTAATAAAACAAAATGTACGAAATTTGGTAGAAAATTGACGAAATTATGCTCTCGCGAATTTTGATGTGTCAGCGATATTTACGAATCGGTGATTTTGCCAACTTTGACTCCCATTTTAGGCCAATTACATTATTCCAATCAACCAAATTCTTAGCTATTTCACTAGTATTACTTCTATTCTATCGATTGAGCACAAGAAATCGCCAAGTCAACTGTTTCAACTACAAAATAAAGTGGTCGGAAATTGGTAATTTGGCCAATTTAACACAAAGTTCAAAATATTCCAATTTCAAAATAGGGTCCAGAATGAACAATGTAGGCATTCCTGGCACTAAACTAACATTTCCTCTGTTCATTAGTTATGTTTTGAGGCTTTACAAATAAATTCCATTTTGATTTTTTTATTCACATAATGAATTTTTATTCACACCAAAAAATAGAAGATTTACTGTTATGCAATACTGTAATAATTGTATAAATATCATCACCATATATGTGAATGTATATTAGACCCACCAGCTGACGTGTATTAGACGTGTGAGGTCGTTTGTTTACTCTTGAATATCGGCAAAAATTTAACATTTCTGCTACTTTGAGCTCAGTTTCAAGCCATTTCCAGTGCTAAAACCAATCAAAATCATCTCTATTTCTGTAATATGTCTTCCTTTCTATCAAATGAGACCAAGAAATCGCAAATACAACTATAAAAAACATACGAAAAAACACTGCAAAGTTGCTGTTTTAATCGAAAAATCATGATTTCATTTTTTTTCTCTCATTATACACAGTGTGCTGCAGGATCTGTTTTATGTGGTGCACACATACCACATAGATGTATTCTCTCATATCTAGGCCCAAATGTACCACTCACAGTTTATCAGAGTGAGCTGAGCTCATGGCGTAGATCTACGGTTTGGACCCTGAACGTAAAGCCGTAGATCTACGGGACGGACCCTGAAAGGGTTAAGTAAATGTATCTTCTAATGGAATAAAACACAATGGGGTTTTTAACATCTGCCCCTTTCAAGTGGGTAGGGGGTGCTGCCACTGTTGAAGGGCTTTTGGGCTAAGGAGTCGAAGCTATTCTTTCTTGGATCAAGTCTAATTACTTCCCATTCCCTAGGTGCTGTATGATCCCTCCCTTCAAAGGAGGTGCCTTGGTGTTGGTAAAGTCCTCCTGATCTAGGGAACTGGAGCTACGGTCCACTATCTTAGATTAAACCTGATTCCCTCCCAATACCATTTTAATATAATTTTGTTACTTGAAATTATCGTTACATTTAATAACCTATTTATAATTACAGCACAGTGGAACCTCAAATTTCGAACTTAATCCATTCCAGGAGCTAGTTCTAAATTCAAAAAGCTTGAAAAGCGAAGCAATATTTCCCATAAGAAATAATGGAAATACAATTAATCCGTTTCAGAACCAAAAATATTCACAAAAAAATAAAATACATTTTATAGAGATTAAAGTTTTACACACAACAAATATAGTGTACAATTATGTATTAATAAATTTAAATAAACATATAAAATAACATTTTTACTTACCTTTATTGAAGACTGGTGATGGCATCTGGAAGACAGGGAGGAGGAGAGAGGGAGTTGGGGTTAGTATTTGGAAGAGGAATCCCCCTCCATAAGGACTTTAGGTATCAAAGCCCTCTCTGGGGTTACTTCCCTTCTCTGTCTTTTAATGCCACTGGGACCAGCTTGAGAGTCACTGGACCCCTGTCTCACAAAATAACTGTCCACAGTCCTCTGTTTCTGGTGCCTCTTTAAGATTTCCCTAAAATGGGGAAATCAGCTTCCTTAATTTGTTCTTTCTTTGCCAGGATAGAAGCGATGGTCGACTTGTTTTTCCCATACATCCTGGCAAGCTCAACAAGTTTCACACCACTCTCATACTTCTGTATTATTTCCTTCTTCACATCTATGGTGTTTCTCACTTTCTTTACCACAGGGTTACCACTAGCAAGTTTCTTTGGGCCCATGGTAGCTTATTTCACAGTCCCACAACCATTAAACACAGTGAATTACTCATAAAATGTTTGAATGAGAGTGCAGGTTATTGTTCACTCATGCATCAACAAAGTCAGACTGGCTCAAGGCGCCTGCATGGGGATGCGGACAGAGCGGGATGGCGGACAGGTCCGGTATCGGCGGTTCAAAAATAGGGGCGAGTTCAATAATAGGGACAAAGCTGGTTCAAAAAAAGCAGTCGATTTTCGAAGAGTTCGATATGCGATACGTTCAAAATTTGAGGTTCCACTGTATATTAAACTATGCAGTGAAATCATACTTCAATTGTACAACTATATAATGTCAAATACCTTCAAGGTCTAATTTTTAGTCGATTTTCGAAGAGTTCGATATGCGATACGTTCAAAATTTGAGGTGCCACTGTATATTAAACTACGCAGTGAAATCATACTTCAATTGTACAACTATATAATGTCAAATACCTTCAAGGTCTAATTTTTATGTCCAAAATGCTCTGCATAACAAAGGACTATTCAAAATGCATAAAATGTCATTTACTTTTATGTACAAATAACCCACACATAGGAGAATGAAACTGATGGCATTTCAGTCTGACTCGGATCATTAATTAATGGTCCGAATTGGACCATTTATTAGTTAACGGTCCAAGTCGGACTGAAACGTCATCATAGTTTCATTCTCCTGTGGGGGTTATTTGTGTATTGTTCCAGTCACAGCGATTAGGTGTAAATTATGGTGAAAGTGTCGAATGATGGTGAAAGTGTTTCTTTTTTGGTCACTCTGCCTCAGTGGGAGACAGGTGATGCATTGAAAAAAATATATACAGTGGACCCCCGGTTTGCGATAGCATCGGAATCCGATAAATTCGGTATTCGATACATTTTAAAGCAAAAATTTTGCCTCGGTTCCCATTAAAAAACCTGGTAAATGCAATTCGTCCGAGACGTGTCCATGTGTGGCCTGAACTGCCCCGTGTGTGCCAGTGTTTACAAGCCAGCCACCGTGGTCACATCTAAGGATACATTCGGTACATTCCATATTATCACAGTGTTTTTGGTGCTTGTTTCTGCAAAATAAGTCACCATGGGCCCCAAGAAAGCTTCTAGTGCCAACCCTTCGAGAAAAAGGGTGCTAATGACTATTGAAATGAAGAAAGAGATAATTGTAAAGTACGAAAGTGGAGTGCGTGTGTCGGAGCTGGCCAGGTTGTATACAAAACCCCAATCAACCATCGCTACTATAGTGACCAGGAAAACGGCAATCAAGGAAACTGTTGTTGCAAAAGGTGCAACTGTGATTACGAAACAGCGACCTCAAGTGTTAGAAGATGTTGAGAGACTGTTATTGGTGTGGATAAATGAAAAACAGATAGCAGGAGATAGCATCTCTCAGGCGATCATTTGTGAAAAGGCTAGGCAGTTGCATGACGATTTGGTAAAGAAATTGCCTGCAACTAGTGGTGATGCGAGTGAATTTAAGGCCAGCAAAGGTTGGTTTGAAAGATTTAAGAATCGTAGTGGCATACATAGTGTGATTAGGCATGGTGAGGCTGCCAGTTCAGACCAAAAAGCAGCTGAAAAATATGTGAAGGAATTCAAGGATTACATAGACAGTGAAGACTTGAAACCTGAACAAGTGTTTAATTGCGACGAAACAGGCCTGTTTTGGAAGAAATTGCCACGAAGGACCTACATTACTCAGGAGGAAAAGGCACTCCCAGGACATAAGCCTATGAAAGACAGGCTTACTCTTCTGATGTGTGCCAATGCTAGTGGTGATTGCAAAGTGAAGCCTTTATCGGTGTATCACTCAGAAACTCCTAGAGCGTTCAGTCAAAAGAATATCCTCAAGGCTAATTTGTGTGTGCTGTGGAGGGCAAACAGTAAGGCATAGGTTACTAGGGACTTTTTCTATGACTGGTTACACCATGCATTTGCCCCCAATGTGAAAAATTACCTAATTGAAAAGAAATTAGACCTTAAGTGCCTCCTGGTATTAGACAATGCCCCTGGTCATCCTACAGACTTGGCAGAGCAACTTTCTGGGGACAGGAGCTTCATTAAGGTCAAGTTTTTCCCTCCTAATACCACTCCTCTCCTGCAGCCCATGGACCAGTAGGTCATTTCCAACTTCAAGAAACTGTACACAAAAGCTATGTTTGAAAGGTGCTTTGAAGTGACCACAGACACTCGACTGACTCTAAAAGAGTTTTGGAAGGATCATTTTAATATCCTCAATTGTGTAAACCTTATAGGTAAGGCTTGGGAGGGAGTGACTAAGAGGACCTTGAACTCTGTTTGGAAAAAACTGTGGCCAGAATGTGTAGACAAAAGGGATTTTGAAGGGAATCCTATGCCAGTTGAGGAATCCATTGTGGCATTGGGGAAGTCCTTGGGGCTGGAGGTTAGTGGGGAGGATGTGGAAGAGTTGGTGGAGGAGGACAATGACGAACTAACCACTGATGAGCTGCTAGATCATCTTAAACAGCAAGAGGCCAGACCTGAGGAAACTGCTTCGGAGGAGGGGATAGAGAAATTGAAGAAGTTGCCTACTTCAAAGATTAAGGAAATGTGTGCAAAGTGGCTTAAAGTGCAAACCTTTTTTGATGAAAATCACCCTGACACAGCTACTGCAAGCAGTGTTGGCAACCTGTACAATGACAATGTTGTGAACCACTTTAGTAAAGTCATAAAGGAACGAGAGGTACAGGCCTCTATGGACAGGTATGTTGTGCGACAGAAGTCCAGTGACTCTCAAGCTGGTCCTAGTGGCATTAAAAGAAGAAGGGAAGTAACCCCAGAAAAGGACTTGCTACCTCAAGTCCTAATGGAAGGGGATTCCCCTTCTAAACACTAACACCATCTACACTCTCCCCTCCTCCCATCCCATCAATCATCACCAGATCTTCATTAAAGGTAAGTGTCATGTATTCTATTGTTAGTAGAGTACTACAAACTGTGCATGTCTTCTTCAGTTTGTGTGCATTAAACTTAATATTTCATGTGGTAAATTTTTTGTTTCATACTTTTGGGTGTCTTGCATGGATTACTTTGATTTCCATTATTTCTTATGGGGAAAACTGATTCGCTTTTCTATAATTTTGGTTTACGATGAGCTCTCAGGAACGGATTAATATCGCAAACCGGGGGTCCACTGTACATATATATTTTGATGAAGGAAAAAAGGCGAGTGGTGCATTGAGGTATATGTGCAGGCAAAAAATGTTATCTATGGAGACAAAAAAGGGAATGTATGAAAGTATAGTAGTACCAACACTCTTATATGGGTGTGAAGCTTGGGTTGTAAATGCTGCAGCGAGGAGGCGGTTGGAGGCAGTGGAGATGTCCTGTCTAAGGGCAATGTGTGGTGTAAATATGCAGAAAATTCAGAGTGTGGAAATTAGGAGAAGGTGTGGAGTTAATAAAAGTATTAGACAGAGGGCTGAAGAGGGTTTGTTGAGGTGGTTTGGTCATTTAGAGAGAATGGATCAAAGTAGAATGACATGGAGAGTGTATAAATCTGTAGGGGAAGGAAGGAGGGGTAAGGGTCGTCCTCGAAAAGGTTGGAGGGAGGGGGTAAAGGTGGTGTTGTGGGTGAGGGGTTTGGACTTCCAGCAACCATGCATGAGCGTGTTAGATAGGAGTGAATGGAGACGAATGGTATTTGGGACCTGACGAGCTGTTGGAACGTGAGCAGGGTAATATTTAGTGAAGGGATTCAGGGAAACCAGTTATTTTATATAACCGGACTTGAGTCCTGGAAATGGGAAGTACAATGCCTGCACTCTAAAGGAGGGGTTTGGGATATTGGCAATTTGGAGGGATATATTGTGTATATTTTGAAAACATCATTGTATAGTTGGGGAACCTGAGGTATCCATATTATATTCACACTCTTATATGGGTGTAAAGAATGGGTTTTACATGTTGCAGCAAGGAGGAGGTTGGGGACAGTGGAAATGTGTCTGAGGGTAATGTGTGGTGTGAATATTATGCAGAGAAGTCTTAGTTTGGGGAACAGAAAGCTGTGAAGGGTTACTAAACGTATTATCCAGAGGGCTAGGAGGGGTTACCGAAGTGGTTTGAACATCTACAGAGGATTGAGCAAAGTAGGATGACTTGGAGGGTGTATAAATCTGTGGTGAAGGGAAAGAAGGGTAAGGGTCAGCCTAGAAAAGGTTGGAGGGAGGGGATAAAAGTTTTGCATGTGAGGGGCTTGTACATCCAACAGGCATGTGTGAGAATGTTAGATAGGAGTGGAGGCAAGTGGTTTTTATGACTTGATATATTGTTGGAGTGTGAGCAAAGTAACATTTATGAAAGGAAAGAGGAAAATTGGTTAGCTGGACTTGAGTCCTGGAAGTGGGAAGTACAGTGCCTACAATCTGCAGGAGGGGCAAGGATATTACAGGTTGGAGGGGCACCTGAGCTACAATGTCAGCACACCTCTGGCAATATGGTAATGGAATGAGTGATGGTGAAAGCGTTTCTTCTTTTTCGGGTCACTCTACCTCAGAGGGAGATGGCCAATGTATTAAAAAAAATGGAGAAACACTGATCCTAGATAAGATAAGATTTCGTTCAGATTTTTAACCCCGGAGGGTTAGCCACCCAGGATAACCCAAGAAAGTCAGTGCGTCATCGAGGACTGTCTAACTTATTTCCATTGGGGTCCTTAATCTTGTCCCCCAGGATGCGACCCACACCAGTCGACTAACACCCAGGTACCTATTTGCTGCTAGGTGAACAGGACAACAGGTGTAAGGAAACGTGTCGAATGTTTCCACCCGCCAGGAATCGAACCCGGGCCCTCCGTGTGTGAAGCGGGAGCTTTAGCCACCAGGCCACCGGGTCCTGCAGCTCAGGTATCTATAGAAATGTATAGTCAGCAGCAGTCATTTGTCAAAAATTAAGCTGTATTGCATTTAGGAAAAAAAGACAAAGAAAAATACTTGCTTTTGAGCACACTCCTGCGATATCATCACCAAGGCACAGTAAGGCAATTACAGGACCCTGATTAATGGCATTCTTGTATTCTGAAGTATGAAACACTCTCTGGGCATCTGCCGTTTCCATCATCACTTCTCGACTGTGCTGGATCTTGCACTCCACCTGGAAAATGTAAACAGCAATGTATATATATGGGGAAACAGTACAAAGTACTTAAAAAAATTCAGTCAAGGAGCGTCAGTGATGAAGATGCCACACAAGACTATACACTGCAGATGAACCAGTAGACTTAGGCAAACTTGTGGCCATAATTTGGGAACCTCTTACTGTACCAGGCTTTTTAACCCTTAAATGGTCCAAACATATGTATACGTTCACTTGCGCAGCGCCCCGAATATGTTGACAAAAAAAAAAAAAAAAAGTTTTTTTTTATAGAAAAAAAGAGCACAAGGTACTAAGTGGTCCCAGATTTTTTTAATATGGTGCACACCGGGTGTTAAGACCCATTCTATGCTGACCAGGCATCTCAGGGCAATAGTGCCAAATTTGGAGGCAGGAAAATTAAAACGTATATATACGTTTGGGGTGCTACGCATAAGAATGTATCTATATGTTTGGACCGTTTAGGGGTTAAAGCAGAGTAGGGTAAGTTACAAGGAGAGAAATGTTATTATTAATATGACCCATATGGATCAAACAGCACTAAGCTGTATGACCCACTTTTTATGAATGTAATACTGTACCACTAGCTACAATTTTATCAAAACCAAACAATATCATTGCTTTTCACTGATTTTTGAACAGAAATTTGCTTGTAATATTGTTGTATCTATATACTTGATAAAACATTTCAAACAAAATAGAATGCTGTGTCTTAGCTTATAAATGAGAAATGTGAGCAGTGATAAGCTCTAATGCACCAAATAGCACTAAATGCTACCCACTCTCCCAGATGGAAGACCTGACAGGGTTTCATCATGGATTCTGTGAAAGGGAGCAGCACTGTCTGAATCACTAGCTAAGATTTACAACAAGCCAATGGATACAGAACAGTTGCAAGAGATCTGAAAGACAATGAATGTAGTCCCTATATTTAAGCAGGGAGACGGACAGGAGTTTACCTGGAGTTTACCTGGAGAGAGTTCCGGGGGTCAACGCCCCCGCAGCCCGGTCTGTGACCAGGCCTCCTGGTGGATCAGAGCCTGATCAACCAGGCTGTTGCTGCTGGCTGCACGCAAACCAACGTACGAGCCACAGCCCGGCTGATCAGGAACTGACTTTAGGTGCTTGTCCAGTGCCAGCTTAAAGACTGCCAGGGGTCTGTTGGTAATCCCCCTTATGTGTGCTGGGAGGCAGTTGAACAGTCTCGGGCCCCTGACACTTATTGTATGGTCTCTTAACGTGCTAGTGACACCCCTGCTTTTCATTGGGGGGATGGTGCATCGTCTGCCAAGTCTTTTGCTTTCGTAGTGAGTGATTTTCGTGTGCAAGTTCGGTACTAGTCCCTCTAGGATTTTCCAGGTGTATATAATCATGTATCTCTCCCTCCTGCGTTCCAGGGAATACAGGTTTAGGAACCTCAAGCGCTCCCAGTAATTGAGGTGTTTTATCTCCGTTATGCGCGCCGTGAAAGTTCTCTGTACATTTTCTAGGTCGGCAATTTCACCTGCCTTGAAAGGTGCTGTTAGTGTGCAGCAATATTCCAGCCTAGATAGAACAAGTGACCTGAAGAGTGTCATCATGGGCTTGGCCTCCCTAGTTTTGAAGGTTCTCATTATCCATCCTGTCATTTTTCTAGCAGATGCGATTGATACAATGTTATGGTCCTTGAAGGTGAGATCCTCCGACATAATCACTCCCAGGTCTTTGACGTTGGTGTTTCGCTCTATTTTGTGGCCAGAATTTGTTTTGTACTCTGATGAAGATTTAATTTCCTCATGTTTACCATATCTGAGTAATTGAAATTTCTCATCGTTGAACTTCATATTGTTTTCTGCAGCCCACTGAAAGATTTGGTTGATGTCCGCCTGGAGCCTTGCAGTGTCTGCAATGGAAGACACTGTCATGCAGATTCGGGTGTCATCTGCAAAGGAAGACACGGTGCTGTGGCTGACATCCTTGTCTATGTCGGATATGAGGATGAGGAACAAGATGGGAGCGAGTACTGTGCCTTGTGGAACAGAGCTTTTCACCGTAGCTGCCTTGGACTTTACTCTGTTGACGACTACTCTCTGTGTTCTGTTAGTGAGGAAATTATAGATCCATCGACCGACTTTTCCTGTTATTCCTTTAGCACGCATTTTGTGCACTATTACGCCATGGTCACACTTGTCGAAGGCTTTTGCAAAATCTGTATATATTACATCTGCATTCTTTTTGTCTTCTAGTGCATTTAGGACCTTGTCGTAGTGATCCAATAGTTGAGACAGACAGGAGCGAACCTGTTCTAAACCCATGTTGCCCTGGGTTGTGTAACTGATGGGTTTCTAGATGGGTGGTGATCTTGCTTCTTAGGACCCTTTCAAAGATTTTTATGATATGGGATGTTAGTGCTATTGGTCTGTAGCTCTTTGCTGTTGCTTTACTGCCCCCTTTGTGGAGTGGGGCTATGTCTGTTGTTTTTAGTAACTGTGGGACGACCCCCGTGTCCATGCTCCCTCTCCATAGGATGGAAAAGGCTCGTGATAGGGGCTTCTTGCAGTTCTTGATGAACACAGAGTTCCATGAGTCTGGCCCTGGGGCAGAGTGCATGGGCATGTCATTTATCGCCTGTTCGAAGTCATTTGGCATCAGGATAACATCGGATAGGCTTGTGTTAATCAAATTTTGTGGCTCTCTCATAAAAAATTAATTTTGATCTTCGACTCTCAGTCTGGTTAGCGGCTTGCTAAAAACTGAGTCATATTGGGACTTGAGTAGCTCACTCATTTCCTTGCTGTCATCTGTGTAGCCAGTTTCTCTGATGTGCATATCATGCAAAGTTGTAGAGAAGATTATAAGGAGAGTGTTTGAGCACTTAGGGACAAGTGGTTTCGTAAACAATAACCAGCACAAATTCAGAGGCAAATCTTGTCTTATCAACCTGATGCAGTTCTCTAACAAAGTAAAAGATGCAAGAGAGCAGAGATGGATGAGTGGATTGCTAGAAGGTACCTGATAATGTACTCCACAAGAGGCTGCGGGGGCAAGAATTTGAGGTGCTGGTAAGAATAAAAGGGAATGTACTCAAATGGATCACAGTACCCTAAGGGAATGAAGCAGAGTGACTGTCAGGGAGAAGACTATGGAATGGAGAAGAATAACTAGTGGGATTCCACAAGGCTTGGTATTATGTTTCTGGTTTATGTGAATGATATTTCATATGGACTGAATCAGATGTATACTCTGATTGATCTTAAAACTAAGACGAGAGCTATAAATCACTAGCATTAGTGGACTGGGAAATGGTCCAAGTCTGGACCAAACGTGTCTAAATTATTTGTTTTTTTTTGTATTATACACCAAACAACTCCCGAATAAAAGAAAAAGCTTATCACAATCGTTCCGTCCACGTCTTAGACCTTTACAAAGTGTTACTTGAACATGATCCCAAGTCGGCACTGTACCATCGTCGTAAGCTTCTCTCTTTTATGTGCGGGTTATTTGTGTATCGTTCCAGTCACGGTATTGTGCCTTTTTTGTTATTTATGGTTAGATAAGTGGTTGCCTGATTTCAGTCCCAGAAAATGCAAGGTTATGAAGAGTGGGGAAGGGACTAAAAGAATAAGACACTACTAGTATAGACGTAGGGGATCGAGGATGCAGATTTCACTCAAAGGAAGACCTAGAATGAACATAGTACCAGGTATATCACCACAGTCTCACATCAGCCAAATAACTTTGGCAGATAATGTTCATCTGGCAAATCTAAGTAGCTCTCCAGAACCTCAACAAAAAGGCATTTCAGCCCCTTTATATAACATGTGTCAGGCCCATCTTGAAGCATGCAGCACCAGTTTGGAACCCACACCTGAAAATGAATGTAGAAAGGGACAGACTATTTGAGCAGCAAGAAACAGGTACTCAGGGACACACGTGGAAGTATTTCTTCAGTTTTCGGGTAATCAGGAAGAGGAATGATCTTGATGAAGAAACGGTGGAGGAAGCCTTTATACATAGCTTTAAGAGCAGGTACAACAGAACCACAAGGTTACAAGGGAGAGAATCAGGCCAGCAGCAAGTTGAAAGGCAGGGCCAGGAGCTAAGACTCAACCCCTGCAACCATATTTAGACGAGTATATCTGCTGCAAAAAGTAGTTAATGATACCCTCCCTTTACTTACAGCTTGAGCTCTGAGTGAAGCAATGAACTCCATTGCTCTCTGGTGCTGTGCTTCATCAAAGAAGAAGAATATGAGGGTAGCTTCTTGAGTTGCATACACAGGTGATCCATAAGTATATGGAACAACACTGCAGTCACTGCTCAGGTTCAAATCAATACTATAAAGAAGGGAGAAAAATGGATACTATATTAAAATAAAATCTAATTAATACACTGCACACAAGAGAATAATTGCCACTATTTTATTTAATATACATGTTATTTTGACGAGATCACAAAATCCAAAGAAATGTGAATATCACATCTGCTATTGCATTAAGAATGACAGTGGAAATGGAATTAGATCAAGAATCAACCCAAAACTCTAACTCTCCACTTATTACCAGCTCTAGATATTACAATGAACATTTTAAGAAATTCATGCAAGTGTATAAAGTAGGAAATGAGGATGTACCATGCTGAAATTGGTTTATGAAGAAATCGAGCAACATAAATTACAATGATATTGTGCACTTTGATCAACAAGATGTAATCAGCATTATTTCATCTGTTTTATGTTCGAAATTTTTAGCTACAAAACATAGCAGTCTATAAGCTCTGTTACTCGAGGCGAGACGTTATGCTAAAATGCTTGTTAGTAACAATTCAAATTCTAAAGTTAAAATTAAAATTCTTTATCTTGGTATGATACAATGTTTATACAGAGATGGATGACATTTAGGTGTACATGCAGAAAGCCCTTAGCATGCAGATCATTTCTGGCAAACTTAAGCCTATCTTAAGACTAAAAAGGCAACAATTAGTTGAGTCATATATATATATGATCTCAAGTGATTTTAACAATAAATAATAACAATCATTCCAAAGTTTTTCTCTTCTTTTATTTTGACTAATAATCCTTAATGCATATTGTATTGTGTTTAACAAGGTTGTGGCCAAAGTGTGCTATTTTATATTTAATTATTATAGTATTATACTGTTCAGTTAACCTGGATTTGAATAGATACCACTGACAAGATACACGATACACTGCAGAATAAGATTGTATTGGGAAAAAATTCTTTGTTAAGAGCTCTAATAGGCAAAATGTTGACACTAAAGAGTGTTCTTCAACACATTTTTTCCTCAATACAGTAAACTTCTTGGCCGAATACAGTAGACCCAGGGTTTTCACGAGTCTCTGTTTTTGTGAATTTCGGTTATTGGCAAATTTTTTCGTCAAAATATAGCCTCTTTTCGTGATTTCCCTCTGATTTCGGCGGTTGTACGGAACATGTCCCAATGGCCATGCGGACACGAAGCCTCCCACACACGCATTCTGAATCAGAGTGGCATTGTTTCTCGGTGAGTGAGCATCACCCCACACGTTCATACAAAACATTTCGCAATAATCCATTGTTTTTTGTGCTTGCAACTGCTAAATAAGCCACCATGTGGCCAGAATGTGTCCAAGAGAAGGATTTTAAAGGGTTTGGGGCTGACCCTGTCGACCCTACGCCTGTTGTGGAATGTACTGTGGCATTTGGAAATTCCATGGGGTTGAATGTGTGTGTGGCGAGGATATGGAAGAGCTGGTGGAGGACCACAGCGAAGAGCTAACCACTGAAGAGCTGCAAGGCCTTCATCTGCAACAGCAACAGAGCACAGATGAGGAAATTGCTTCACGGGAGGAGGAAGAGAGAGGGAAGAAGGTGCCTTCTTCAGTAATTAAGGACATGTGTGCGAAGTGGAGTGAGGTGCAAACATTTGTGGAGGAATATCACCCTAACAAAGCTGTTGCAGGCCGTGTCTGCAACATGTTCAATGACACTGCCTTGTCCCATTTTAGGCAAATCTAGAAACACCAGAAAGAGTTCTGTGGAGCAATTTTTTTGATCGACAGGGGTCCAGTGACTCTCAAGCTGGTCCTAGTGCCATTAAAAAACAAAGAAGGGAAGTAACCCCAGATAAGGATTTGGTACTTCAAGTCTTTATAGAAGGGGATCCCCCCTTCCAAACAATAGTAACTTCTCCTCCCTCTCCCCTCCTCCTGTCTTCCATATACCAACAAGTCTTCAATAAAGGTAAGTGCAATGTTAAATGTTCATTTACACATTTTATTACTGCTTTATATTGATTTGTCCTTCTTTTCTCTAAAAAACATTATTTTTTGTAAATACTTTTGGGCATCTGGAATGGATTAATTGGATTTACGTTATTTCTTATGGGGAAAATTATTTTGGTTTTTGTGAATTTTGGCTTTCGTCAGACTCTCTGGAACGGATTAATCATGAAAACCGAGGGTCCACTGTATATTATATTCCTACCTTACATTACACGAAAAAGATAAAAATAATTTCCAGAGAGTTTTGCTTATATACCAACCTCTTTAATTCCTCTCCCTCTGGCAATTTGAATGATGATGATAATGCATTTGCCTGGGAGATACATGACCAGTTTGTTTCTCCATCAACTGGTGTAAAATCATGCACATTTGCCCAATTATTGTTGAAAATACTGATGCCAGCAACAGTGAACTGATCTGAAAAAAAAAGTTCACATCATTCAAAATAGAGAAAGTTTTTAGTAGTACCAGATATTAACCTACTAGGATTTGTTCTTGTATTTCTGCTTAAAATAAGATTTGTCTGGATTTTTAACCCCAAGGGATAGCCACTCAGGATACCCCAATAAAGTCGGTGCTTCATCAGGGACTGTCTGTCTTGATAAATGATACACTTGTGCAGCCAGTAGCTTCATCAGTCCAATACAGAAAAGAATGGAGGAAGATGAGGAGGAGTTTGACGTAATCAGTCCCTCAGCCTAGAGTCGATGTGTTCAGTCAATCAGTCTTGATAAAGACAGCATATGAGTAATCTTTTGGAGGCTTATAATTTAATCACCTACCTATTTCCAGGAATTTTCCCACAGGAATTGCCCTTTTTAACATTAACCCCAGGAGCATGCATAAATTCTGCATCTCTCACTTTTTCTTCTAAAGCAGATCTGGCTTGGCCTCTTTACTTTGCTGATGTTCAGTGATGGGATAGTTCTTGTGTTTTGCTCTCTCACCCTGGCACACCTAGGGTCAACAGTATTATGTACTTGTGTAGTATTCATATATACACCCTCTCCTCACTTAGTGGCATACTTGTTTACCAACCACTCGGACTTACGACGAGGTTTCCAACCAATAGGCAAACCTAAGTATGTATATTAGAGCTGAATTCCTCTATCCTCTTTATTAAGGTAGAGAGTACACTACTGTACAGACTCTCCTCACTTAGCAACGTACTCGTTTACCAACAACTCGGACTTACGACAAGCTCTCTGACCAGTATGCATACCTAAATAAAGTATATTAGACCTGATTTCCTCTATTCTGTTTATTACAATATACAGTACACTACTGTATAAACATTTAATAATGTACTAAAAATGTTATAAATGGTGCAAAGGTGACATTAAAACAATATCAAAGATGGTTGAGACAAACCCACTACCATTATAGTACGTATGCTCCTCACTTAGCGACAAATTCATTTACTGATGTGGTCTTAGGACGGGACTCCATCGCTAACCCTTTCAGGGTTTCGGCCGTACTAGTATGGCTTACGCACCAGGGTTTTTGACGTACTAGTAAGCCTAAATTCTAGTGCCCTCAAATCTAATGAGAGAAAGCTGGTAGGCCTACATATGAAAGAATGGGTCTATGTGGTCAGTGTGTGCGGTATAAAAAAAATCCTGCAGCACACAGTGCATAATGAGAAAAAAAAAAAACTTTGACCGGGTTTTTGGATTAAAACAGCGACTTTGCACTGTATTTTTGTGTGGTATTTATTGTTGTATTCTAGTGTTCCTGGTCTCATTTTATAGAATGGAAGACATATTACAGAAATTGAGATGATTTTGACTGGTTTTACAATGAAAAGTACCTTGAAATTGAGCTCAAAGTAGCAGAAATGTTCGATTTTTACCGAAGTTCAAAAGTAAACAAATCATGCTATGCATCCAATACACGTCAACTGGTGGGTCTAATATTCTTTCACAAGTGCGCTGATATTATTTATACCATTTCTACACTAATGCAGTAGTCTGCATAACAGTAAATCTTCTATTTTTTTGTGAGAATAAAAATTCAAAGTGGAGAGCAAAAGAATGTAAGAGGGGCATGGGGATGTGACTAATGAACAGAGGAAATGTTATTTTAGTGCCTGGAATGTCTTTCTTGTTTATTCTGGACCCTATTCGGAAATTGGCATCTTTTGAAATTTGTGTGAAATTGGCAAAATTGCTAAATTCTGACCACTGTATTGGATAGTTGAAATCGGTAAATGGGTGGCTTCTTGTACTCATTCGATAGAAAAATTGGAGTTCTAACGAAATAGTTATGATTTTTGCCGACTAGTACACTGGAATTGGCCGAAAATAGGGCTCAAAGTGGGCAAAATCGCCGATGCATAAACATCGTCGAGACCGCTAAATTCGCGAGAGCATAATTCCGTAAGTTTTCCATCAAATTTCACACTTTTGGTGTCATTATGATCGGGAAAAGATTCTCTATCTTTTCATAAGAAAACATTTTTTTTTTTTTTTTGAAATTTGGCCGACCCTGAGAACAAGTCTCTGAGAGGGCCTGTCAGCCCTGAAAGGGTTAAGTGAGGAGAGGCTGTATAAACATTTAACCCTTAAACGGTCCAAACAGATCAACGTTCAAATTCGTAGTGCTACAAAAGTAGATCTACTTTTTTTTACATATTTTCAAATACAGTGGACCCCCGGTTAACGAACTTTTTTCATTCCAGTAGTGTGTTCAGGTGCCAGTACTGACCGAATTTTTTCCCATAAGGAATATTGTGAAGTAGATTAGTCCATTTCAGACCCACAAACATACACGTACAAACGCACTTACATAAATACACTTACATAATTGGTCGCATTTGGAGGTGATCGTTAAGCGGGGGTCCACTGTATAACAAAAAAAAATGTAGATAAAAGTTTTTTTACACATTTTCACATGTAAAACAAAAAAAAAATCTACATTTTTTTACATACTTTCAGATGTTGTAAAAACGTATATATACGTTTGGACCATTTAAGGGTTAAAAATATACTAAAAATGTTATAAATGGTGCAAAGGTGACATTAAAAAATATCTAAAGATGGTTGACACAAACCCGCTACCAGTATAGTGTGCTCCTCACTTGATGACCAATTCGCTTACTGACCTACTCTTAGGAACGGAACCCCATCATTAACCCCTTGACTGTCGCAACCCCCAATCCTGAGGTGTCTCCTGGTGTCGCAAAATTTAAAAAAAAAAAAACAAAAAAAAAATTATTTTTCTTATGAAATGATAGAGAATCTTTTCCCGATTGTAATGACACCAAAAAAATGAAATTTGATGGATAACTGAAGGAATTACGCTCTCGCAAAGTTAGAGACCTCGGTAATATTTACAACTCGGCGATTACGCCCACTTTGACCCCTATTTTCGGCTAATTCCATTGTTCCAGTCGACCAAACTCATAGCTGTTCCTTTAGAGCTCCATTTTTTCTATCGATTGAGTACCAGAGACTACCCATTTACCGATTTCAACTACCCAATAACGTGGTCAGAAATTTGCAATTTGGCCAATTTAACAAAAATTTAAAAATATGATAATTTGAAAATAAGGTACAGAATGAACAATGCAGACATTCCTGGCTCTAAAATAACATTTTCTTTGTTCATCAATCACGTCTCCAAGCCCCTCTGATATTACTCTTGCTTTCTATTTTGAATTTTTATTCAAACAAAAAATAGAAGATTTACTGTTATGCAGACTACTGCAATACTGTAATAATTGTATAAATAACATCAACCCATTCATGACTGCATATTAGAATGGCTAGTTGGACATTTATTGGACAATGACATCATTTGTTTACTTTTGAACATCAGCAAAAATCAAACATTTCCCCTACTTTGAGCTCCATTTCCAGGTTTTTTATAGTAAAACCAAGCAAAATCATGTCTATTTCTATAATATGTTTTCCATTATATCAAGTGAAACCAAGAAAACAAGAATACAACCATAAATACTATACGAAAATAGACCACAAAGTCAGCATTTTAATTTAAAAAAAATGGTTGTAGTTTTTTTTTCTCATTATGCACTGCATGCTCCAGGATTTTTTTTATATGGTGCACACTGACCACACAGACCCATTCTCTCACATGTGGGCCTACCAGCTTTCTCCTGCTTGATTTGAAACCGCTAGAATTTACGAGTATATATACGTTAAACACTGTACCTCGTAAGACGTATATATAGGACCAAAACAGTCAAAGGGTTAAGTGAGGAGAGGCTGTATTTCCTAGCAACATTTATAGGCAGGCTCTCTGACCAAGCCTACCCCCAGCACACAGGCCATCCCTCATAGGCCTCTGCCTCAGAATGGACCAGGCATAGGAAGTGGGCAGACGCAAAAGGCCAGGCTCCTCTACGTATACCAATATACGCCTCATAACAGTCTACAGTTGTTTCCTTTGCTACCATCACTCCATCAAAGAACTCTCCTAACACTAGGATACACCAAAGGCAGCTTTACTTTAAACCTACCAATGCAAAAATTTGTTTTTAAAATCTTAGAATAAATTACCTTTAAGCTGTGGGTAGAATGCCTGGAAACATCCAAATTTCATTTTTGTGGAAGCTTCAATAATAGGTTGTGTCTGACAAAGGAGAAATATTTCCATCTTGCAGCAATCCCGTGTTCGAAACTGTCCACAAGCAGCCATCACGACACAGTCTTGACAGTCACGCAGGAAGAGGCTGCAATAAGAAAATATTAAAGTTTGTATACTTTTTATTTAGAAGATAGCTTTCCAATGGTCATATACAGTGGACCCCCGGTTAACGATATTTTTTCATTCCATTAGTATGTTCAGGTGCCAGTACTGACCGAATTTGTTCCCATAAGGAGTATTATGAATTAGATTAGTCCATTTCAGACCCACAAACATACACGTACAAACGCACTTACATAAATACACTTCCATAATTGGTCGCATTGGGAGGTGATCGTTAAGCGGGGGTCCACTGTATACATATATTTAATTAAATAATTAAAAACTGAAAAGCCATTACTGTACTTCATTCACTACAAAGAACAAAAAGGCACAATACCGTGACTGGAAAAATACACAAATAATCCACACACAGTCGTAAGTTCCTCTCTCCTATGTGCGGCTTATTTGTGTATCACTCACTACTTTATACCATATAAAATATAAACATAAAACAATTTGAATAAACCATACCTTCCAGTTGTTGGTCCAACAAATATAATACAATCAGAGCAGTCATCAATCGTTATGGTATTGATGCAATCAAAAAGGTAAATCTGTGAAGCCTGACAATTCTGAATAATGAACTGTTGTCCACCGATTGTGCCGGGCAGTCGTCCAACCTCTTCATTGCTAACGTTTTCAACTGTAAAGTCTGCAGGGTTCACTCTGTCTTTTTTATCCCTGTCAGAAGAGAATGAATCATAAAAAATAAACACTAACAAATATTGCATAAACATTAAGTTACAATTAACCCTTTGACTGTCGCAACCCCCAATCCTGAGGTGTCTCCTGGTGTCGCAAAATTTAAAAAAAAAAGAAAAAATTATTTTTTCTTGTGAAATGATAGAGAATCTTTTCCCGATTGTAATGACACCAAAAAAAACGAAATTTGATGGAAAACTGACGGAATTATGCTCTCGCGAAGTTAGCAACCTCGGTGCTGTTTACAAATCGGCGATTTCGCCCACTTTGAGCCCTATTTTCGGCTAATTCCCTTGTTCCAGTCGCCGAAACTCATAGCTATTTCTTTAGAACTCCATTTTTTCTATCGATTGAGTACAAGAAACTGCCCATTTACCGATTTCAACTACCTAATAATGTGGTCAGAAATTTGCAATTTGGCCAATTTCACGAAAACTAAAAAATATGACAATTTCAAAATAAGGTCCAGAATGAACAATGCAGACATTCCTGGCTCTCAAATAACATTTTCTTTGTTCATCAGTCACGTCTCCAGGCCCCTCTGATATTACTCTTGCTTTCTATTTTGAATTTTTATTCAAACAAAAAATAGAAGACTTACTATTATGCAGACTATTGCAATACTGTAATAATTGTATAAATAACATCAACCCATTCATGACTGCATATTAGAATGGCTAGTTGGACATTTATTGGACAATGGCATCATTTGTTTACTTTTGAACATTGGCAAAAATCAAACATTTCCCCTACTTTGAGCTCCATTTCTAGTTTTTTTTATAGTAAAATCAATCAAAATCACATCTATTTCTATAAGATGTTATCCATTCTATCAAATGAGACCAAGAAAACGAGAATACAACCATAAATACTATACGAAAATAGACCACAAAGTCGGCGTTTTAATTAAAAAAAACGGTCGGAGTTTTTTTTTTCTCATTATGCACTGCGTGCTCTAGGATTTTTTTTATATGGTGCACACTGACCACACAGACCCATTCTCTCACATGTGGGCCTACCAGCTTTCTCCTGCTTGATTTGAAGCAGCTAGAATTTATGAGTATATATACGTCAAACACGGTACCTCGTAAGACGTATATATACGGCCGCGACAGTCAAAGGGTTAAAGCCTAATGATAAAGGATTCATCATGCAACCAAAGGCACCAGGATTCAATCTTGGGCAAGATGTAGGAAAATGTGTGCTAACACCCATTGCTCCTATTCACCTAGCAGTACCTAAATATGTAGTAGTTGGCTGGGTCACATACTTTGGAAGGACCTAAGGAACCACTGGAAATTAGCCACACTGTTTTAATGTCTTGGTTTATCTTAAGTTATTACCCCTCTGGGCTTTATAATATGAATAAGGTAGTCTTCATTTTTTTTAACCCTTAAACTGTCCAAACGTAGATCTTTGTTTGCACGCGAAGTGCTCCAAACGTAGATCAATGTTTTATTTTTCATTAGTTCAAATTTGGCACAATAGGCTTGAGTCGCCTAGACATGAAAGAATGGGTCTGTGCACTCAGTGTGTGCACTATTAAAAAAATCTGGGAGCACTCAGTACCTTGTGGAAGCACCAGTTCAATTGAGCGCCAGCTAGAGCAAATAGCGTGGCAAACACCAGGGATTCACTGTTGCCATGTCGGATTAACACTCCCATTTTAAGAGGAAAGCGTAAATAAGTTAGATAAATACATGAGTGAGTGTGGGTGGGTGTGAGTTGGACCTGACTAGCTTGTGCTACTAGGTCTGATGTCATGCTCCTTCCTCCAATGAAGAATGACCTAACTAGGTGGGTCATTTGTCTAAGCTGGGGGGGGGAGTGTGACATGTACCTGCCTTGCATGGGCCAGTAGGACTGCTGCAGAGTTCCTTCTTTCCTATGTTCTTGTGTGTTCGGCAGGCTGGCCGGCTGGCTTGCTTTGGCTGTCTCTGGCTGTCTCTGTCTATCTATATCTCTATCTATATCTCTATCTATATCTCTATCTATATCTCTATCTATATCTCTATCTCACATGCACATAAGTACAGTTATTATACATAGTGTAAATTACCTAGGATAATCCACAAATTCGAGGCAAAGATAGACAGATACATAGAGACAGACAGACAGATAGACAGAAACATGTTTGTGTATCAGTGAAAACAAATAAAGCCTGTATATCGCAGAGTCACTTGTTTGCACAGAACTGCTTAAAGCCTCAAATGATGTAGTGGAAGTTTTAGCAGTAAAGATCGAGAACCAAAACCTAGTCATTGTGGCAGTCTACAAGCCTCCGGATGCAACGTCCCAGCAATTCCAGGAACAGCTGTTAAAAATTGACCACTGTGGAAAATCTGCCAGCTCCTGCCCCCAACATCTTGCTCCTGGGGGATTTCAACTTAAGGCACCTAAAATGGAGGAATATAGCAAATAATGTTGTTGCAGTGGTAACACCAAGAGGCAGCTCTGACGAAAACTCACACACTCACACACACACACACACACACACACACACACACACACACACACACACACACACACACACACACACACACACACACACACACACACACACACACACACACACGAGCTTTAAAATCTCTGCACAAAATTCAACTTAAACCAGCAAATAATAGAGCCTACTAGACTTGAAAATACATTAGACCTCATCTTCACTAACAATGATGATCTGATACGAAATGTCAAAAACAATATACTACTCAGATCACAATATAATCGAGGTTCAGACATGTATGCGCGGAGCCCCAGACTGACATAATGAGATTAGTCACGAGGGAGCCTTCACCAAATTCAACTTCAATAACAAGAACATAAAGTGGGACCAAGTAAACCAAGTCCTAACCGATATAAGCTGGGAAGATAGACTAAGCAACACAGACCCCAACTTATGCCTAGAACATTAACTCGGTGGCACTCGATGTATGCTCAAGGCTTATTCCTTTAAAAAAAAGAAGGAGTAGATGTAATATAGAAAGAGACAGGCGCTCCCTTTACAGGCGACGAAAAAGAATAACAGAGCGGCTAAAAGAGGCCAATATATCTGAAATGCGTAGGGAGTACTGGTCAGAGAATAGCAAACATCGAGCTTAAGCTAAAGGAATCTTATAGGAGTCAGGAATCGCAGGAAGAACTAAAAGCCATAAATGAAATCAAAAGAAACCCAAAATATTTCTTTTCTTATGCCAAATCAAAGTCGAGAACAACGTCCAGTATTGGGCTCCTACTTAAACAAGATGGGTCCTACACAGATGACAGCAAAGAAATGAGTGAGCTACTCAAGTCCCAATATGACTCAGTTTTTAGCAAGCCGCTAGCCAGACTGAGAGTCGAAGATCAAAATGAATTTTTTGAGAGAGCCATATAATTTGGTTAACACAAGCCAATCTGATGTTATCCTGACACCAAATAACTTCGAACAAGCGATAAATGACATGCCCATGCACTCTGCCCCAGGGCCAGACTCATGGAACTCCGTGTTCATCAAGAACTGCAAGAAGCCCCTATCACGAGCTTTTACCATCCTATGGAGAGGGAGCATGGACACGGGGGTCGTCCCACAGTTACTAAAAACAGCAGACATAGCCCCACTGCACAAAGGGGGCAGTAAAGCAATAGCAAAGAACTACAGACCGACAGCACTAACATCCAATATCATAAAAATCTTTGAAAGGGTCCTAAGAAGCAAGATCGCCACCCATCTAGAAACCCATCAATTACACAACTCAGGGCAACATGGGTTTAGAGCAGGTTGCTCCTGTCTGTCTCAACTATTGGATCACTACGACAAGGTTCTAGATGCACTAGAAGACAAAAAGAATGCAGATGTAATATATACAGACTTTGCAAAAGCCTTTGACAAGTGTGACCATGGCGTAATAGCGCACAAAATGCGTGCTAAAGGAATAACAGGAAAAGTTGGTAGATGGATCTATAATTTCCTCACAAACAGAACACAAAGAGTAGTAGTCAACAGAGTAAAGTCCAAGGCGGCTACAGTGAAACTCTCGTTCCACAAGGCACAGTACTTGCTCCCATCTTGTTTCTCATCCTCACATCTGACATAGACAAGGATGTCAGCCACAGCACCGTGTCTTCCTTTGCAGATGTTGCAACCCCTGAATGGGTTACAATGTATATGATGTATATTATATATATATAATGTATATTACCTTTTCATATAATTTTATATTACTTATATTTGCGATAATAGCTAAGTCGTAAATATATTGCTTTATATTATTATTTGACTTAGTTACTTTTGTTAGGTAGGATGTAACATATTATTATGTGCTCATAGTTCAAGTCTTGATTGTCTAACTACTGTAATTATCGCTCTTTGCTCGTTACTCTGCCGGCTTCTGTTGCTGGGCAGCAGCTGTCCACTGAGCTATCACGTGATCGAGGGGGAGTGTCCTCACCTCGCCTGAAGTATTCAGTCTGGTCTAGACTCGCTTGTTGGTTGGACGTATTCCTGACAAGTGCCTAAATCTCCCTTATTGGGCCTTGTGGGAAATTCGTCTCTGTAGCTTTCTTGTTGGTTCTGTAGAACTCTGTTCACAGAACACTGTCTAGACTTAGTGATTTTAGACGTTGTACTGAGGTTGTGTGTCGCTTAGACACTCTGAGCAACTCAGGTCCTGAGCTGTAGCTTCTGACCTAACTTGTACTGGCATCTGTGTACTGTCACAGTCGGGGATTTTCTTATGCTGAACTTAGATTCAGTAGTATGGGAGTTTTGTGACTTTTGTGGAGGATCTGCTGATGGTCCCTACTTAGTGTCGTTATATTATCTCCTTGATCCTGATTGTGTCGCAGTTGCTTGTTATATTGCTATTGGGCTTAGCATTCTTTTATTGTTCAAGCAAACTGTTCTGATTGCCAGTCGGTCAAGAACTTAGTTTATTTGAGGACTTTGTCAGTCACTTGTTTAAGTCTAGTCGAGTCGTGAGACATAGCGAACTACTTAGAGC